ATTCACGAGTATACCGAATCCCTATTTTAACTCAGTTTAGTTCGGCAAAACATTGGAATCAAAATTAAAAATTACACACGGAACGCACTGCCCGAGAAGTACATATCCGGAAATACAAAACTCAATATGATACCGGTGTGTTTTTATGTAATAGCAAAACAGGTATGGGCATATCTTCCGTCAACATGAGGTGTCATCCTTTTTGGCCATTTTCGAGGACAAATATATCATAACTGCACTGGTGACAGAATGGAAGAAGGTGGACTTTGAGTGTCACTGACTTACCAATATATGAAATTTGTTTTTTCATATTGCACACCTCATCCTGCAATAGATAAGAATGAAATTTAGAGTTTGGATCTAACCAGGGTTAGTTTTCCTAAAGATTCTAGGCATCAAAACGTTACCAAAAAGACTTTACTCCAATGAAGTGCAATGCTAATGACAAGATACAGTGCAGTTCTTGTTGGATGCTGCAAGTACAAAATGCACGCCAATCCGTTTGGGAACACTTTTGGGACCATTTAGATGAGGTCCAGTAGTGGTTATAGTTTAATCCTTCTAATCAGGCATTGCCTGATGACATTTTACCTATTATGGAACATATAATACAGGGTTATTCGTGTGAAACATTTACCCTTTATTTTGGATATCATCGACATTGTTGCTGCTGTTATTATTTAATCAGTTCATCATTTTTATCATTAGCGTTGTTATTCTCATATTTCCAAACCTTTCTATCAAGATCTCGAAGGTGTTTTCTTGTGTACTACTTATGAGTAGACAATTCATAACTGCAGAATGTTGTCTAGGGGGTATGAACGGTCAACGTCCGTCGAGCGATTCTTCAATGTCCAATCGACAGCGATATAGCTCATGTGGTTGATTCTTTACATTCAGCCGATCCGATTGATGCTACCTGAGACCCCAAGATTGGTCGGGAAATCCGTTATTTTGGTTGGCTACCTGGAAGCTATATCGCGGTGCGTGTGCACACGTTGCAGGTTCACCCCAACTTTCCTCCCTGAAGAGTGCCTCATCATTTGACTTGCTTTTCGCCGTAATTTTCTCAGCGATGCACTGGTTTAGGGTTCCGATCCTGCCGGTCGTACTCCAGCTTCTTGTTAAATGTCATGATAATGGGGAGCCGAAGGCCCAACTTCAGGTGGTTCGGGATTGCTAAGGTTTTCCACTTCTTCATATGGTTCTGATGCACTGATAGTTGATTCGTCTCTGAAATGTACCTAGTCGACATGCCGGTAATGAATAGATGCAACTGTTAAATCAGTTGTCTCCCCTATTGGCTGATCTAAGTTTCTGGTGATGATGTCACAAGCGGGGAGCTGATCGTTGCCTCTGGATTATGTCACGTCACTGGAATTCATACATATCAGGAAAGACCTCAAGCACCGTGACTTGAACAGCTTTCTCAGACTTTCCTTGGTAGTTGCATGTGTCAGCTCTCAGTATTGCAGTTGGACATTGTTCAGAAACGCCTCCAAGTCCGTGTTTAATTTCGGATTCGCGGATACCAGTGCACTTTTGAATGCTTTTACAAGATTCTCAGCTTGACCCTTAGAACAGGGATGTCTTGGATCCGTTGTAAATGTCGACACCAAACGCTATGAGGCTAAGCTTTCATCTCTGTGGTACCGAACTGAGAACCATTTTCTGTGACGAGCACCTGCGGTGTACCTTCCCAACTGAAGCATTTCCGGAGAGCCTGGGTCACGAAGGATGTTAAGAGCATACTTGTCAGAAATACTTCGGGCCACTTTGAGTAGGAATCAATGAGAACCAAAGCATAGTAGAAATACAGGAACGGGCCTTAGAAGTCTACATGTACCCGATGCCATGGTGTATAACTCCCTGGTCATGAAACCCAATTTTGCGGTTCCACCTTCACTTTGTGCTGACGCGCCTCACAATTCTTCGCATTTGTCCAAATGTTGACATTGTATAGAAAAGCACGGTGGTGAAGATTGAACTTGGTTTCGTGTTATTCAAAATACATAAATTAAATATGTTCAAATAGGCTGAATTTTTCTAACGGGATTTCGTGTTGAATAACCTTATGGAACAAGTTTGAAAACCACACCTACCTTACTCGAAACGTGGCACTTATAAATCATGATGAGGATCGGTTTTTCGAACGTTTTCTTTCACTGCTTTAATCCACTATTAGGAACCAATGAAGAAGTATATACAACAAATCCAAGTTTAATATATGATGTATCTTAGTGACGATAGGTTAGAAATGTTTTTTTTCTGTGTAAGGCAAGTTACTATTGAAAAGTAGCAGTAGCATGGTCAACTTCATCATCCCCCCCCCGGATTAATTTCACGCGTGTGTTCACGCATACACACAGAAGCCGCTGGGAGAGATATTTATATCATTTAAACCATAATTACCACTTGGCGATTTAGCATTTTTGAGATTATAAATCACAAATTTTCCTACCTCCTCTTCATGCTGAGTATCATCAATACGCCGGTCACGTTTCACAAGTAACATTCAGGCTGTGGTGATCAGCACTACACATATTCGAACATTCTGAAGGGCGCTTCAGTTGCACGCGCATGCTAGCACGCTTCTCACATGGTGTTTATGGATCACCGTGGCTGTCACAGTTCTGAAGTAGTTTCATACAACGAGAAGTTGTATTGCACTTATTTACATCATGTGAAAAACCCAGAAACAATAACCATGAAACATAGCTATTTAATTCGCATTTAACTCACAGTTACCTGTGAGTAGTGGTGTGAGATAATTAATACCTATTGATTTGAACTAACTATCCTTCGGACTTCACCCTCACGCACAATTCTCAGTTCATCGATTCAACCATACACTCGTAAGCATTAGGTTTGAGTTTCGCTCAATAAATATCAATTATCCCACACTACTACTCACAAGTAACTGTGAGTTAAATGTGAATTGTTAATCTGGCCTTGTAGGTTCGTTGGCGAAACAGTCCGCAACCTGCATGGAAGTCCTGACTTGGTGGGAGGCTTTCGATTGGAGTTAACGGAATGTCATCTGTGTCTTCCTTCGTTGCTGAACTGACTATCACTGAAGACGACACCTGAAAAAACATGAAGTGGCAATTTGGTGCAACCACGGTATGAGCTGGTCGGCACAATGGTAACGTACACACCTTCCATGCGATGGGTCCGGAATTAGACTCCAGCTGAATCCTATCTCTCTCTCTCGTTTGCTGAACTTGACCAGATTCAGTTACCTGGTGCTGAGAAAAAAAAACTGGATATCATTGCTCGACCTACCCAGGCAACTTCAAAGGGTGATGTGTGTAGTTTAAGGTCCGACTTCCGGTTCTCAACGGAGAAACAAAAAGCACGATCCGCTGGACCAGATCCAAAACTGACAAGGTGGCATGTCAAAACTCCTTGTCTGACATTCATACAATACATTACACAGTTATAGTCATGTTAAACTGCACCGAACAAAACCATTCACCACTAATAATTCGTGAACAGCAATAAAACAACAGCTTCGCATTTACTTTTCAGTCTTTGTTGCACCACTGTTCCGACATCCGTCCGCATGCAGTGATATTAGACATAAATTCAGATGAGGATTTAACACTACTATCAGTCGAGAAATCTCTTCATTCCACAATGGTACCATTCTCTTGCAATCACTTTGACCTCTTTGTATTTCTGACAGTCACTCCAATGATGGGATACATGTGTTGGATTTGTTTCTCATGCAGATTGGATACTCCAGTGCGAGAGATGAAGCCACGCCCTATGTCCCTTGTCCACTAAATTGATTTAGGGTAGTGGTCATGTGATGCATGCTATCCTTACGTCTGCCCGGAGATCCTAAATACCAACCACAAACAAGTCTGATCCTACTTCTCACCGCTGGATATCCCCTGATCACCTGCAGCGTCGTTCCAAAAACTGAACAGCCATTCTATTTTTAATTTACAACAGGAATCGAAAGATCATGAGCATTGTGATCAGAGTACTGTAGTTTAATATAGCTTCTAACAGGCTGCTAACTATACAGCCTTATGTGACAGTTTGAAGGCTATCTAAGGTAGTCACTTAAAATACTCGTAAAAATGGGCACTTGGACGGGCATGCTCATGCGCGATGTTGTACCTCAAGCTGTTGAACAATTTCAAGTCATCTTTCGTTTAAAGCTATCCGAAATGAACGAAGTATGAAAATGATATTAGTTTTATGTTGCGCGGGTGCAAACGAACGATGGATGTGTTCGAACTGATGGACGAAGAGTGGAAGAAAAATATACGGGTTTGTGAAACTTATTCGCTCAACTTTTCCTCTATGATTTGTATTTATAATCGGAATGTATCCAACAGCTTTGATTGAAATTGAAAGATTAGAAGCCATCTAGAAAAATGGATGAGATCTACCAATATTCTTTGTGCCTCCAAAAGCCTCAGTATGGTCGGGGGTGGGTGTCTAGGGTTAGGGCTGATTACCCTCCCCATGCACCTCACGAAATGCTCTCATAGGACCAAGCGTCTCAAATAGCCTCTGCTGAGAAAGACATACTGCCTTCTCGTTGCGGTGTCTTCCCACCAAAGTGAGGGAACAACAGCTGGGGCTGTAATTGGGTTGGTGGACCACTGGTAGTTCACCTAAGGGAGTTAACCAAAAACCCTGATTCCAAACCAACCAAGAGAAGGCGTATGCACCACACACCTTCCCGGGTGTAGTGGTTGGGGTCACCGGCTCCATTGGGCATGGAGGTGTATTGGGCACCTTGGGTGTTTAACCCCGTCCAAAGGGCGAATGATCCGATGAACTGGACACAGGTCTCCGATGGAATGCGGTTTTCACAATCCACCCCTCTGCTTTTAGGGCCAGGCTTTGGTTAGCCAGAGTCTCCGGTTATGGATTCCTCAAGAGAATTCACCTGCCTTGGCATGGGCAACATGGCAGTATTCCGCACAAATGCAAATCATGGAACGTTTTCTTTTTCATAAAGGTTCTCGGGAAAGTAACTACGCATATAGGTGATGGATACCTGCATCAGGAAAATAAGGCCAACCAATGCGGGATTCACACTCATTTAGTAAAACAGTTATTCCGTTTAAAAAAATCAAACTTACAGCGGTGTTAAAATTGATATTCGTGGACACTGTACGATGATTCAAGGGTTGTACCGGTCGAAAATTGTCAGCCATCGATCCCGACCAGAGCGTATTGGCAACTCGTAACCGACGTAGTGTTTTGAGCTGTTAAGCAGACAGAAACTTAATTTTTGTTTTGAAGTGCTGATTTCGGTGAGAAGTAACTTAATAAAGATAAATCTGAGGTGACACAAAAGGAACCAAGAACATACCAACTGAGGATATCAGTGCTACGCTTTTCACAATTTCTCCACTTTGCCTGAAAGTTTCACTGTGTGAAAAATCAAATACATCAAATGCATACCAGCACTCGGTGACAAAGAGGATTAAAACGGTATCGTGCTCATTTCACGCTATTTATTAGTCGAAAATAAGTCATTCACAGTCAACTCACAGTTACTTGAGAGTAATCATGTATGACAAGTGAAATCCATTTAGTGATCTATCCTGACCGTAATTTAAAATTCAGCTTCACCGAATCCTCAATTCACTCGGCTAATGAAGTACCCGGGAAGTTCTGGAATTCAGACCTTTGCTCATTTTAGAGCTCATCAGCAATGTAAATTCACCGTCCCGTTCAGAATTCGAGCACCGAACCCATAGTATGGAAGCTGTGCTATGTTATCACTGTGTCAACAAGCTCACAGCGAAGCCGATCAGAACTGCTTACTTATGCTCTTTGGTGTCGCCTTCAATGACAGCAAGTCAGAAACGAAGGGGGAATGGTACGCTATTTGTTAACTCTAATTGTTTCAGTCTGATCATCCTTCACTCTACATCTACCTACACACTTCACGCCTAATCCAGCCAATCACACGTCTGAATGAAACATGAGATAACAATTTTGGTCGGCACTATGCAAGGTGATCGGGAGAATAATAAAACACAAACACAACTTTTATGCGAAGGCTTTGAAGTTCAAATCTCGGATAGGCTGGTGTAACACTACGGATGAACTATAATAAAAGCGAAACTCGAATCGAATCAGAAGCTTTCTGAATGAACGTTTGCTTGGATAACTTAAGAGTTATGATTGAACATGAAGTTTGAAGAGTGACTGATCAGATCAACAAATTATTCATTTCAGATGGTGCATACAAAGATCAATCTCTATCATTAAACGCGCGCAAACATTTTGAATATAAATGACGAGAAGCGAATTTATCGAGAAAATGATATCTACCGTGGGCTGATTAATTAGCGCAAAATCTTCGATGACTTGTGATAAAATGTGAGGAATTGTGAATACTCAGAACGCAAAGTGAAATCGTGAAACGAAATTTAGCGTTTACTTCATTTTCTGTTCAGTGCAACCACAGTTACTTGTTATCTAAGACAACTTGTTTTCAACAACTCATGAAATTCAATGTCACAATGTGTTTTTGGCAAATTCAATGGTGCTTCATTCTGATGGACTTCGTGCGATAAGCATAGAAAAACTCATTTGGTCCTGCTTCGCATCTGAAAGGCAGTCGACTGGGTTTGGCACGAAATATTTGTTGTCCAAATTACTCCCGTTTAGATACGACCTTGCCTTCACACCATAACCACAATATCCTCACGTGGTTCCGCGAATGAGAGTATTGTGAAACATCGTACCCTTTTCTCGGTTATCTCACACCATTAGTGTTTACCATCGCAAAAGCTGGACCAAAAAATTATATTGTTTAGACGGATGAAAACTGTTTCCGCTGTGGCTAGAATGCGAAACCGCGTATCTAGACCGTCCTGTCTTAACTCTATACAGGGGACGGAACCCTTCGATCACGTTTACAATGTGATTAATGTCGACAAGGTGCGATACGACGGCACTTGTGATTGATTTAATTGCTCCACTTCGCATTAGGATATATAACGGAGTTATGTCTTTGTGAAATTTGGCCTTTCTCTTGACGTGATCACAAAATCAGGTCGCTTGGAACGATTTTCCAATGTAAGGAATTTCAGGCTTGAATCATATTGTACGCAGAATGTGAATGAATTGTGATGGTGCTGGTCGGCAATAATAAAGATCAATCTAGGTCAGTGGTGGAAGCAATAGAAGGAAATCGCTTTTATCATTCCACTATCATTTATTCCCCCTTCCTCGCCAGACCCCACCCGCACCCCAGAGAAAAATAACAAACAAATTTTTAATATGCTCTGTAGCATCCGGTCAAGAAACGAAATCCAATTGTTCTCAGTTTTCAAAACATTTCTGTAAAATAATGATTGATTGATAATAAACTTGATCCGGAATTTTAATCTACCATTTATACACTCATTAAGTTCCAGACAAAAAAGCCCGAGATTGTATTAATGTTCTATTGTTATCTGATGCAAGCGTTATATGACCTCTGGTGGTTCGAACTAGATAGGATCTCAGTAGATGGAACCAATGTTCACCCTTGATATCTGTTTGGTTCACCATGGTATGTGCAAAGTAATTGTCATCTCCAAACCATTTTTTGTCTTAGTATCTTTTAAATTTGAGTTTTTATGTAGGCGCTTTCTAGTTTGGTCTTTGGGGACCTGGAAATTCACAACTAATATTATTCAGGTCGGTGTTACTTCTTGAATTAAATAGGCACGAGGTACGAAATCGGGGATGTGAATGCGTCGTTATTGTGCGATCGGGCAAACCTGTCCCTCCTCGTCGTCCATCCTCAGACAAACTTTAAACAACCTTATTAGACAGACCATTTCCGCTAACTCGAGGAAGCCACAACGTATGCGGCCACTCTGTCCATCCTTAATGTAACAGGAGACCACGAGAGAGAACCAGCACGATCGATGCTCTACGTATCATACTACACTGGAGAGAATTTATTTTCCTACAGCAAAACCTGAGAGCTGGCGGTTTTTCCGAAGCATATTCAAGCATGCACACACCTCTTTGAATCTTATAAAGCAAAGCGGTACACAAAATCAACTCCCGTTTGTCATAAAACTCGGAGAGAGACCCGTTTTATTATGCAGAGTAATACCAAAGATCGGAAATTAGGACGGGTAGATCCAATTCGTTTCAAAAAGAAATCTCAATTTTAAGCAGAATAGAGCATGCCTATCGGACCTTCCGGTAAATTACCCCAAATTCCTTATAAAATCAACCTAATAACTTGTCACAAAAGGGTCAGATAACCTGATCAACGTGCACGATCTGCTTGTCACTTTCTCCATTACAGACAATGTTTGTCATTTTTAAAAGTAAATCGGGCTTCACGAAGATAGGGTTGGTGATAACAATTGGTGAGTTTACATTTTCACAGTTAAAAATATCTTTAAATTATATTAGGCCCGGTAGTAAGTAGTACAATGTGATAGTGTCTCATAGAATGTGGACCTCGTAAGAGAATGTTCTCAACCACGTCGACTGTGTGCTATGTTGTCTAACGAGCAACCTCACTCTCAAACGGTATCGTATTTTTTTTAGGAAATTAGTTATTGTTCAGAAGAACATCGCTCAGGCACATCTGCTATCCGATCGCGGTTTCTTTCAACCTCGGATGTTTATTAGTTAGCAAGAATAACAGACCTCAGCTGAAGGATCTCACTGAAAACTATTCCGTTTGTATAGACTAATTTCGCCAACGAATTCTTATCATTTTCGGATAGGTTTAAATCCCAGAAATGTTCATGCTTCCATACAATACGGAAATTCAACTTGTGTGAGCCATTTGTACGGTAGTTTCTGGAAAATATGAGTCTATATCGTTCATGTGGAATCACAGTAAGATAGAACTATTCAGAAATATGCTGCGTGCGTCAAATGTTTTCTTTTCCATGAGAACTTTCAGCCTTGAACCAACTTCCTCAGAAGTAGAAAAACTCAGAACTATCACTTAGGGCATAATGGCAGCACATTCTGAAAAATGCATTAGTCGGAGTTTATTGATAAGAAATACTTATAAACTGTTGCGTTTTTATGCCACAAGGGATATGATGCAACTGAATCGACTGACGAGCAAAGACGGTTAAGGACTATCACATGTTTCCAGTGTTTTTTGTACTGCTATGTATGTTGAAACGTAAAACCTCCCCCTGATCCATCCAGTCCATAGGTGTAAGAAGCTACTGTGATAACAGATACAACACCCTGAACACTTTGGGCAAAAAAAGAACGATTCCGGCACTCCCCTTTCCAAACTTTTGGGGGTAACAACTAGAATGATTATTCCCTGAGGTGGATGTTGGCATGGATGGTCCGGGTTCTGCAGTATTTGATATATCAAAATCAAGTCCGCTAGAATTCAATGATGGTGAGTGGTGTACAGTCTCAGTGACTGCATCCTTTAAACAAAAAGACTTAAAATGAAATCCCTAGGCCATCTTGTGAACATTCTAAAACCTGATGCTCACGCTAAAGCCATGGAATCCAGGTTTGCATGGCGTTCTTACTGGAGAAGGCAGTCGGGCAGTTTAGGTTGTTCTGAACGATTACACCAAAATCCTTCTCACTCGAGGCTTGTGGAAGCTTTTTACATCTGAGGAAGTGCGAATACTAGTTTTTATGGGGGAGAGATAAGACGGGACATTTTGATATCTTGATGAGTCGTACTTCGTGTTCTCTGAAATGCCAGTGAGCCCTCAGGTGTTATCCCAGTTGAAAATTTCTCATCACCATCATCATCAGTTTATTCTATTCAGTCATCCATATGGTGTGGGTTGTGACTCAATTGAATTGATCTGAAATCAGTCAGTCAGCTAGAATACTACTATTTTGTTCCACCGTTTACGCCTGTTGACACTTGGATACTTGCTGCACAGGTGACAACACACTTATATACATATTCTGTAACTCTTCACTTGACGGGATGCAGCACAGAGTGGTCGAGTTTTGGTTTTAGTGATGGTTTCCTCCAGGTGTTTAATATTTTTCTCCAGACCTACTACTGCTTGAATCCTTCAGAGCGTGAATGGTTTTGCCACCATCTTTTGTGCAAATTCTTGATTTCTTCCAGGCAAGTAGTTGCCTCTGTTCCTACTTAGATAAACATCAATCTTACCTCATTCGTCAATTGAAAGGTTAAAAATAGTAATTTAATTACGAGGATTCCGTGCATGTCATTCAAAGCCCAGTTATGGGCACGAACTTTGCACAATAACACACTATCGAGTGTTGTTTAGGATACTGATTTGTGACTCTTCTCCCAATAAAGGAAACATGTCTTGCATGCTCTTTGTCGGTACTCAGGGTGGGTTTGCGCTAAACGCAGGTTTTCACTGGAATGATATCGAGCATCCAGTAAGTAAAATCTCAAATCCGCATACAGGACTGATTTGGAAATGGAACAAGACATCCGGGCGCCACAATTCATGATTCCACGTGTAGGCTTTGGGGAGAGAATTCTGAATTAGATAAGTGCGTTAGGGACAGTCAATGCAGCGTGTATTTTCGGTTTATCCCCAATTATTATTGCTTAAACGGATAAATTACTGTGCATTTTGCCGAACGATTATCTGCAATTTGATCCTTTAAACTATATATTGCAGAGAGATAAGTACTTCACGGTTGGAAAGTTTTCATGAATCTTCAGGCAATCTGCGAAACCACCCCCCCCATTACTTTGGGTATCGATCTCGGATTCAATACAACTTCGTTCGACTGAGAGTATACGTTTCTACCTCATCGATCATCGCATCAACCGGACTCCAAAATGAAAAAAACAAAACTTCAATTGAATTGCCATTTCTCGTGAGTCTAACAAATCAAGCTGAACATTTAATCAATAATAGAACTGACTGAGTTCAGCTCACGCAACCAAGTTACTTAAAACTTGGAGTGGGAGATGAACCTTGTTGTGCACGAAACATGTCTGAGTGACAAGAACAAACAATTCAAGAGTAGCGTAGCAATTGATTTGATAACATGGTAAAATTAGTTGTGTTTAAAGTAAACGAGGCTTGAGCTGAAAAGCTAAGATCCACTGTACAGCTGTTTCGATTTGATGCATCTCATTAGCAGCGGATTCATCGATCCGATTGAGGATTATATCGGGAACCTCAGAGGCTGAACGCAAGCACACTATCCACCTCACAGCCAGACATCTGGTGAGACCGTTTCTTTTTTCGTTTGGACTGTGGATGACCTACCTTTTCTTGCGTTCTAAATGTGACGTCCCTGAACCGGACCTCATTTGGTTTGATGTATTCGCACTATCAATGAAACCCATCAGTTGGAAATAGCCATGCAATGCTTCCTGGTATTGTGAGGTACTACTCACATTTATGAGTAGATTGTACACATCAAGAAGCGGTTATTAGATTCCTAAGGAGTTCACAAATTGATTAAAGGACTCACTTTTGTGACCACAAAAAACGCCGAACCGTTCCAATAATTATCTTGCGTGCTTATGGGGACTCTGAAGACTTGTTACAAATGTCACTGTTGTAAGTATGCCAGTTTACCGAATGCCTTACCGTTATTCGTAATGAATGATTTTTCTACTACCGGTACCGTCTTGTGGATTTATAATACTAACTTTTCAGCTCACGCTTTGCTTGCTTTTTATGCGGCACAATTCACTATACAACAAGGAATGTTTGAGCTTCAAAACTGTTTCGTCAGATATCCATTCACACACCATTTCTCCTTACTTACTGCAGGTTCAGCAATTTGACAATACTCACAGCAAGGGCCAACCACGGGTAGCAGACTATTCCAGAGTAGCTTCTTGAAGCTGTTGATTTAGCGTCAAGATCAGTTGGATAAAATAAATTCAATACTGTCCACTGAATTCTATCAGAATGCCAGTGATTACTTGCTCAGATTTACAGAAACCGTGCTTTTTGTTTAAGCTTGAGATTAATTAAAGATTTTTATTTGGATTGATGAGAAAAGTTTGCAGCTTATTGTTTCTGGGGTGGGCGTGTTGTGGTTGTTACTGTTTATGGAACAAGGCTATCCTGCTAAATTGACCATAAATTCCTGTCTCTCCCTCCCTCCATCAGCAAACACACTGAGACTGATTGCTGCTGATGAGGCCAGTATTTAGGTGTGCGCTGTTGACCGAGAACTGTAAAAGTAAATGGAAAATCTGTCGAAAAGCACGATTGACCTGCTGGTTGAATCGTGCACGACTATTCGAGACACAAAGTCCAAGCAAGAGGGGGAAAAGCGAGTGTTTCACATTGTCTGACTTGAATGAGTCGGAATAGCTCCGGGTTTTCAATCGGACTTACCTCTGTTTCTGAAATAGACACTGGGTGATTGAGAATAACCCACTTCACGGTTTCGTGACATCCGGGAAACGGTAGGGAACCGTCATAGGTCATGTATTCTCGTGTGGACGAGAGCAACGAGCGTAGTTCCAAACCACGTAATTGAAATGTCTGACCTGGGCACGGACAAATAATAATTATTATCGATCGGAACAAACTGTTCGTATTCTCAGTAGCCCCGTTTAGCCGGAAGCAAAATATACAGCTGTCAAAATCCATAATCAATTGGTCGTGAACTTGATTTCCGGCTTCGCTTATTAGTTCACAAAGTAAAAATCGGGTTTTAGTCCGACTTTCCCTATTAACCGGAAATGTTAAATGAATTGAGTAACGTGAGTCAATCAGTAAAGTAGTCTCAACAGCACGTATGATTTGCCTGGATGAATGCGATGTGCATTGTTCCTCGACTAGCATCAAAAAGAACTTAGATGCCATTCGCAAGCAACCGTCAAAGAAATTAATGCATGTATGCTGTGAAATTCAGTCGAACTTTTTGAACGAATATTTATTTCAAACTCGGGTTGAATGTAAACTGCTTCTTGTCCCGTGATGCGTCTGGCGATTGCAATTGCAGGGCGAAAAAAATCAATCAAACTGAGTCAAATCTCGAACGCTCCAGATTGATGATGTGTTTAATGGTATGGAGTAGATTTTCATCTCGAGCTCTACACTGATTCAAACATTCAGCAAACAATCTAGTAAATGAACACACTGTTTTGCCGAACAAGTTCTTCTTTGAGAGAGATTGGGTTTAATGTTTTATCGAGAGTTGAGCACGATATAAGTAAAGCATAAACTTATTTAGTGAGAAATGAAGATCTTTGTTGAAAAAATAAAATGTCAAAAAAATATACTATCTTTATTCGATCGTGGCCTCTGGTGTAGATGTGTGGATGCCCAGCTTCACTCAGCTTTATTAAGTGAAAGTCTTCGACCAAACTACCGTACAGGCCCAGACGTCAGCTGATGCATTTAAGTTTAACGAGGTGTGTGTGTGTGTCTGTGTGTATGTGTACGGACAGCGCACTCATCTATCGGACCTGACCGGAAAGTCACCAAATTTAGAAGCAGCTGACCCTCGATGTTAACCAGTCCAGATGTTTGATTGAACATATACATGAGATTCTTGTTATTTCTATACGCACCCGCTATCTGGCACTACCATGATCATCATAAAGTTCACACGTGACAACTAGCATTATATCTAATTATAATTTTGATGTAGAAGTGGAAACAACCATATTATTCAAACTTATTATATCAGCAAACATCCTGGAGTTCACCGACGATAGGCCTATTTTATCTCCACAAATTCTATGCTGCAGAAACAACACCACAAATGAATGTTGCGGAAAGTATATTGCTAAATTTCTGCCTGACACAAATCTATCTACCTGGAATCTTTGATATTTTTTGAGTAGCGAAACAATTCACAAAAAGCAGTAAAAAATAAATCTGCCCTACATCGGAGGAATTTCAGAACAGAAAAGCACAAACTCGAATGTGGCGCACAATTAGCAAAAATTCAACAAAAAAATATCCAAGCATTATGTTCTGATGTAAATTTCAATTAAAACTTCAAACAGAATAAAAGATCCGGAGTCAATCAATGAGTCTGATGCAAAAAAGGAAGGTTAATCAGAAGTGAGGTCCGTGAAAACATGCAGTTGAATGCCAGTAACTAAATTCCCTCATCCACATAACGGTGAACTTCCACCGATGTTATTTCGTCTGAATGCATGAAACCTCGTGGAATCCGATCACAAGTGTGGTTTCCAATACCGCTCGGCTTTGAATATGACGAAGCAACTCCAGTCTTTGCACAACCCTAACAAGGAAGCATGGGGTCTTGATACTGTTGCGCTTGACTTCAGACCGTCTTTCTGGTCGTTGAATCACGGATATGATCTCGTCCGCTCATTCTGCTGAAACTGTTACACAGCCATGGGTTACACTGTCTTTCATCGTGTTTTCAATAAATCCTACTTGATTTGATCCGCCTGTTCAATGGTTACCGTGATATAATTATTTCAATAATCAAACAACTTCGGGGAACTCGAGGCAAGGGTTGGGTGACTAGTGCTTGAGTCATGCGAAAATAATTGTTCGGTAGGAAGACTACATGCTGCAGGGAGGCTTGCACTACGAAATCCCTCAACCACATCCCACTGCATCGTTTAGTATCGGGTGTAGAAACTACTGAATCATCAGAGTTTCATTCGGATAACAGCTAACATAAGGATTGGTCGTCTAGAAATGAATGTATTAACAGCCACATTCAAGTAGAGATAGTCAGTCTNAGTCTGCGAAACACTGGAAAGACAATAAAATGGACGCGGTCAAAACGGGATCCATACTGTCCAAACAACCTACGTAACTGGTTCATCAACTCTTCATCACAAAAGGCAATCATTACCGGTAGACAGCTCAAGAAGTTGTTTCAATCAAAGTTCAGATGATGGGACCTGGTTACAGATTTAGCTTCACATGAAAATGGACACCAAAAGTAACTTCTGAATGAAACAAGTCAGTTGCCATTCTTCCTTACTTCGTTGTAATTCATTTCAAGGTTAAGAACCTCGTTTTGTTCAGGTGACTAAATTTGTAACGAGCTAATTGTCATGATCAGTTTGTGACCGGGGAACCTCGAGAAAAGTTGACTATTCTTTGCCGTTGGCCACGTCACTTGCTAAGACTGGCACAATATCAAGAACTATGATAAATCGTCAAAGTAAAATCATTGAAGCTATCTTATTCATCACATCCGCACAGACTGTCTCCTATCTCCAGAATTTCTGTTATCTAATAAATAGCTTGTGTTGAGGTACAATCGGACCACTGGAAATCGAGGTTCACTTAAACATTGTGTAAACCAAGCTAATGTCAGAACATTTTTATTTTGGATAAGCACATTCAAACACACCTAGGTACAGTGTTACGTTTGATTCAGTCACGTGATAGTAAATAGGGCAAACTTACCCTTAAAGATAGTTTTCTCTGCCGCGGCCACAATTCCTAGTATGTCCTTATTCGAAATATTACATAGCTGATTTTCCGAGCGAGGCAAGGGAAGCGGGAGGGGGGGGTTGTGAATGGAAAATTTTATGGAAACTGAGTAAAGTACTCGGTGAAAATGAACGAAAAGAAACCTATGATTAAGAATTTTATTCACTGAGCAAGTGTTGCATATCATAGTGAAAAACCTATCATAAGCAAATATAGTTGACAGTTGGAAATGTTCATTGGGTGAATCCTGCCACACAAGGAACAGATTAATTGTGAAATGGCATCTTGAAACTGTTGACTTCTGAATTAGCCTGTTTAGGTGCTATCAGTAGTACAATTTCTTTTATCCCGGTTAAGCATCATATCCGAAACCGTACGTTAGAAATATGACCGGTTTATCCATGTGAACCGTAGATAAATGTTTAACATTATGGTCAACTTTTACTGAAAAAGATTGATAAGAGTTCACTCATGATGTTCCAATGTGTTCGTCCATCACAGCGAGAATGCACCCTGATGTAGTGTGATGGCCTGCATGCCTCCACGACCCTGCGAGTTATACAGGATGGCTTTTCCTAGCCGTAAATCTAATCATGCCTAAAAGGTCAACGGGTAGAGGCCAAACGAAACTCAGTCCAACAAAGACAGTTGCTTAGGAACCTCCTGGCTTCCTCCTTCTATCCACATCCATCCCTTGGAGAGGTCACTCCAGCAAATAAACACGGTAACGGGCAGTTTACCGGTAAAAATACCCCTCTAGATGGACGTAGGAGCGGGGTACTAGGGCCTTCCTCCCGACGGTGGGAGAAGTCTTCACACTTCGTTGGACAGCTAACGCCCGCCCAAGCTGGGCAGTCCTCAGCCAATAAGGTGCTTTCCCATTCACTTTCCACTTGTCTCATTGGGTGCATGAAAATGAGGGCCAATCCCAAACAGCGGACCGACAATCAGCGCACCAGGGAACAACACACTTAACCGAAACCCGAAGTCCTTGCGTGACAGGTCTCTAGAAGCTCCCACACGGGTGCTTCGTTCA